GTCACACCAACACTCATTTCTCCTCACCATCGCCGATTCGCCGCCACTCCACTTCCGGCAGCCTCACCATCGGCGCCAGCCCCACCTCCACCTCCACCGTGGTGCAGATCTAAAAGAAGATGAAGAAGAAAAAGACGAAGAAATGTAGATCTAGACTCACTGTCACCGTCACCGTCACCGTCGCTGTCACCGCCACAATCGCCGCCGCCATGCTCAGATCTAGAAGATGGAAGAGATATAAGAAGGGAGAGAAAAAGAAGGAAAAAAAGAGGGGGAGAAAGAAGAGAAGAAGAGGGGGACTGGGGGAGAAAGAAGAGATGAGATGTACGGGGAAGAGGAAGAGACAAAGAGAAAGAAGAAGAAGAAGAAGAAGAAGAAGAGAAGAAAGAGAAGCAGAAAGAAAGAAAAATGATTGAGAAGAGAGAAAAGGGTGGGGGGACGGGACGGGTAGATCTAGGAAGGAAGTTTGAAAGGGTAAATGAAATTGAATGATAAGGGTATTTTTGGAAGGCTTGGGATTAAAAATTGAAATGGGAAGATTTTTTCCGGACGGGGAAAAAGGAGAAACGGGAAGATTTTTTCCGGACGGAGGGAGTAATAATAATAACAACAACAACAACAACAATAAATAATAATAATAATAATAAGAACAACAACAACAAGAATAATAATAAAAGTAAATATGGTCAAGAAGAACCCGTACAGGGAAAATGTGTAACACCACTACTCAAAGTAAACAACAAACCTCTGTACTCAAAAGCCTTTCCTGCAAATGTCTGAACAAAATCTGCGAGAACATTGTTTTGTATGTTACAGATAATTTTAGAAAAATCAAAAGCCACTGACATTCCCTACAATATTTGATCAACAAAAGCGTCATTTCCAACACATTTTCTAAAAATCAGCATTTTAACTACTAAAATTACCTATGGGGTTTATATTACATCACGATGAATATCTCCTAGATAGTTGGTATTTATTAAGAAAACTGAGTGGTCTTGTTTTGCTACACAGACTGCTGAAATTTTGCAGATCTTTTAAACATGTGCATGAAAAGCCTTATAAGGTCAGGCTGGCTAGCTTGTCCCTCCAATTTAATACTTAATAGCAAACTAATCATTCTTTAGAGCATCACGTGTTAAGCAAATTAGTAAAAGAGAAAAAACCTGTAAAACAAAGGTCTTATTAGGCCTTTCAATCTTTGGCGCAAAATCAAGCAATTTGTAAATTATCCAAATACAAATTTTTGGCTGGAGCAGTAGCACTTAATGCTAACCTTGATATTACTAACAATTGATTGAGCATCGGCTTCGAGAGGCTGAAGAGAATACTCTTCAAGTAGTGGTAGTAGAGATGATACAAATGTTGATTTTTCTTGTTGTGCAGCCTAGGATTGATAGCATAAAAATCAAAATAAGTTCATAACAGAAAGCATCCATGAATGCCCTTGGATGAAAGCCAGACATTAAAAGAAAATTGATGGATAGGTCATTTCAATTTCTGATATTGTTCTAATTCCCCAAAAAGAAGCCATGAAAAAGAGCCATGAATAATGCAAAACAATCACAAGCATCACGATTCATCTAATAATCTTGCTTAAGAAAAGAGATACAGATTTTGGCATTTTTGACAAATGGAATTGGAAAGTAATCCTACGCATAAAAAACTCATGTAGCTAGTAGCTTAACATAAGCTTAGAACTTTTAATTACAGCGAGCAGATATTTATAGTATGTAATTTTACAGGTATATAAGTATACATATGTGAAGTCTTGCCTCAAGAATAAAGATCTAATCTCTTAGCCTTGGCGTAAAGATATTGCAAAGATCTTAAGTTCTGATTAGATATACATTTGATTATCTTTATGCGTCTGACTAACTCGATTACGTGACAGTTCATTCACCATCTTTGTGCCCTTGTATTTTCGGCAAAAAAAAACAGAAGTTGGCAACCAAAAAATTTGAGTGCAAGTTCATATACAAAAGCATAAAATATAATTGACCGATTTAATATTGGCACATTCCTGATGCAGTCACTATACTCTTATTATTATCATTCTTAAATATAGTTCACAATTATTATTACTATTATTATTATTATCATCATCATCATCATCGATATAATAAGATGAATTGTAATTTCCTATTATTATTGTTGGTAGTAGTAGTTTTCTAAGTACATAGTTTCCTTAAGTTGTCTTTTTAGAATTGTATTTGTTTCCAAATAGGCTTTCCTAGGAGTACCTCACTCTATTTCAAGAGTTGTAACTTCTAGTTGGGAAGTAGCTTTAGAAAAATAATAAGGTATTTTGGTTCTCTAAAAAAACTATTGAAGCTCTCTCTCTCTCTCTCTCTCTCTCTCTCTATTTTAAATATCTCTCCTCTCTTAAGTCTTATCATCAAGAAGCTTTACACTGTCAATAAGGAAGGACCACCTGTTGCGCGTAAGTTTTCCTGGGAACATAACATTTCCATTTTTCGGGGTTACCCAAAAATCAAAAAATTACTTTGAGGTGACGCGAGTTTTCTCGTAATAACTCGTAGGTCCTCATGTTCTTAAAAACCAACAGGATCCTTAATTTTTTTGTAAAGACTACAACGATACTTTTCAAACACTAAAATATAAATATATAATACTCCAACCAATAATTTGCAAGAATCAATTAAAGGATACATATTTCCTATTTTATCCTTATTCACATGGACCGCTAGTCTTCTGTTGTGACCACCATCTGGTTTTCAATTTTCTGTTTTATTTTTTTCCATTTGCTATTGGCATAAAAAAAGAAAATACACAAAAAATATTTAATTTTTAGTCAATTGTAAATGGAGAAAAAAACAAATAGTTGAAAACAAGATAATGGTCATAGCATTATAGCAGAAAACAAGCAAACCATGTGAATGAGGATAAAATAGGGAATACAAAGTTTTAAATTTTTGTGACATTATTCGTCGTGATATTATATATTAGTGTTGAAAAGTATCCTCGTAGTCTTTACAAAAAAAACTCAAGAACCTTAGTAGTTTTTTCAACAACATGAGGACCTACATGATATTACGAGAAAACTTGAGCCACCCCAAAGTAGTTTTTTGCCCAAAATTTAGTCCCAAACAAAAAAGACTTAACAACAGTCAATCACAATCAAATAATACTTAACAACAAACAACCGTTCATGCATATAATGTTATGCATGTAAATTACAGATATCAAATTATCATATTATGTGACATAGTAAGTATAACTGTATAAATTCATGAAAAGGCCACACCAAGCAAAAGCATATCCCTAGCCTCTACCTGCAATGCATATGCAAGGCGTATATTTTCTTCAATGATATCTTGTCTATAAGATATTGCTTTAGATGCAGCATCAACCAGATCCTGTTGCTGCTGGTCGAAGGCCTGCACGGAGAATTGATTGAAAACCTTTGACTAGTTATAAGAAGAAAAAGAGACAAAATGTGATATCACGGAAAAAATAAAGGTTCTCCTACCATACGCATATAAGCAATACGCTTTTCCAGAACACACTTCTCATTGCATATTTGTGCTTCCTGTCACAGCCAGTACATTAATTAAATAATGACAATACAACAACTCAGTTGAATCCTACGAGAGTAGGGTTTGGGGAGGGTGTGTGTACACAGACCTTATTCCTACTCGAAAGTAGGGAGGCTGTTTCCAAGAGACCCCGATAAGTTTGTAAATGAACGGAATCAAAGCGAATACCGGAATACTTGAATTTGTATTTGTTTAATTTTTTTGAATACGAATATGAAACGAATTAAAAATAAGATTTGTATTTGAATTTGATTAATATTCAAATAGTTAACGAATCCTAAACGAATATTCGAATAATCATAGTCCATAATTTATATGTCGATTTTGAATAATTTAACTTCCAATATTTCTTATACCATATCTAAAAACATTAATACATTTGCGCCTTACACAAATTATATTTTATAAAATATAACTATTAAAAATCATATGTTTTAAATTTTTGTGTTACGATAATTTGATTAAATCTTAGTAATATAAATGCACTTTATACTATATTAGTTTGTTTGACCACTGATGTTGAAAACATGATCTGTGTGTATTCGAATATTCGAATATCATCCGAATCGAATACAACTCTATTTGTATTTGTTTACTATCCGAATCAAAACTAATATTTGAATTTGTATTTGTATTTGAATTATGCGAATTAAAATCATTATATTCGAATACAAATCACGAATCGAATTTAAAGTATTGACAATGATTGAATATGACCATGGTGTTGAATAAAAAAGGCACCATACTTTGATTAAATATTCCCCAAGATGATTCCTAAGTTGTAAAATCTCTTGTTCTTGATCCAGGATCTGCATGAAAGAATCCTATCAGAATTCAGAAGCATTAAAACATGGAACAGAAAAGAGGATTACAATCAACTGGCTCATTAATACTTTGTTTTAGAAAGGCTCATAATCACTTAATTGGATAACAATCCTTTTTTTGGACTAAAAACTTATCGGAAGAAAACGAAAGAGAGGGTGTACCTGCTTCACACTGTTTGGATTATTTAATTCAGATATTGGCATCAGACCATGTCCAGGTGCATTAAGCCCCCTATCTTGTTCCCCTTCTTTTTGATACCTACCTAAGCCAGTTCAATTGTCACTTTTGAGCTATGTGCCAAAAAATATATAAATTATTAACTCGAACATCCACAGAAATAGTTTGTTTGTTTGTTTTTTCATTTAGACATTCACAATCCCACATTTCCAAACCAAACTTAACCTTGGAATTAAGCATTGCATCATATACCTGCTGGGAAAAAATGATGATGGATCTGGAGGATTCTGACCACTAAAATGCACTCTAAGTATGCCATTGGCATTGTCAGGATCTCTGCTGCTTTCTCCATGTTCTTGTAGAGTAGAGCATAAATCATTTTGGACAAGATTATCAGACAAAGTATGTCTAGGAGTATTATTGGGCAAACCAGTTTGATTTTCAAAATGTGAAAATGTTCCATGCAGCTGGTGATGATATCCATCCAACTGTTCAGGTAAATGACAATTCTCACTTCTCAGCCCACCTGATTTCTGTTGAAGGTGGATGCACCAAATAGTATACATTAAAAAGAATATAAATAATGGTGAGAGATAAAGACCACTTTACACAAATAAGTAATTAAATAAAAAAGCAAAGAAACAGCTAGAAACTTAGTAGAAAGCAGAAGCTGGAAAGTAAAAACAAGTAGAGCGAATCTTCTAAACCTCATCAAATCAAGAATCTCAACTAATAGAGACTAAGAACCCCATGAGAATCTTTGAAGATATGAATCTTAATCTTTCTCCCCATTCTGTAGATATGTGACCAGTATCTATATATTGACCCTGGCTTCATAACTTACTGACTCTTGAAAATAACTGACTCCATTACATGGAAAGAATTGACTCGATAGCATAGTTATCACGGCGCCAAGGCGAGGCACCAGTGTACCTTTGGTTTCCTAGGCGACAATTAAGCCACGTCGCAATAAATGAGAATTGTTGTACTAATTGCAAATTATTCCTGGAGAGAGTTTGACCACCCTACATAAAGTGCTCGTTATGGATTTTTGTATCCAACGAAAGGTAAGGAGAAGTTGCCAAGAGAGGAACCCAAGGACAAGATGGTGGCAGTTGAAAGGTGCTATGCAAAGGGATTTCCAATGCCGTTTAGTAGAAGAAGCAGAATGGGATGGACATGGAAGAGCGGAAGAGTAATGGTGCGATATGGCACACTAGAAAGGTGGAGAAACTATAGGCACTAATGCATGAGACAAAAAATCATGGTGGGACACTAGTGTGCAAGAGAAGGTAAAGGTAAAACGGGAACATTTCAAGGAGTGGTCTTTATGCCGTAATGTGGAAAGTTGGGAAAGGTATAAGACGGCTAAGATGGAGAAAAAAAGGCGGTAAGTGAAGCAAGAATGAGAGCATATGAAGGGTTTTACCCGTAGTTGGGTACGAAAGAAGGGAAAAGATGCATTTACAAGATTGCAGAGGGTCGAGAAAAATGGATGCAGGAATCGGACCAAGTTATATATATTAAAGATAAGAAAGTGAAGTTTTGGTCTCTAATGAAAGCATAAACGAGCGGTGGAAGAGCTACTTCAATAATATGTTTAATGAGGGGCATGCAAATCTCTCATGCACTGATCGGCTACACACGAGGGAAGAGGACCAAAACTTCATATATTATCGAAGAATTTGAGAAATTGAAATAAAGGAAGCCCTAAAACGGTTGAAGAATAGCAGAGCAGTGGGCCTAGTCAACATACTGATTAAAGTTTGGAAAGGTTTAGGAGGAAAATGCACTTGGTGGCTAACTATGCATTTTAATGAGATTCTAAGATCTAAGAAGATGTCTAACGAATGGAGGAAGAGTATTTTGGTCCCTATTTACAAGAATAAGGATGATATTCAGAGTAAGGTTCAAGCTCATGAGTCATATGATGAATTTGTGGGAAAGAGTGGTTGACCAAAGGTTAAGACAAACGTCTTCAGTGTCAAAGAACCAATTTAATTTTATGCCAGGAAGATCAAGTACAAAGGCTATATACTTGGTGAGAAGAAAGATTTACACATGGTACCAAGAGAAGTATTGTGAAAGGTGTTAGAGAAAAAAGGAGTAAGGATTGTGTATATTTGTGCAATTAAGGACATGTACGATGGTGCTACAACGAACATGAAAAGTCAAAGTGGGCAACATGGAAATTTCACATCGGTGTAGGATTAAACCAAGGGTATTATATCTGACAAAAAAACTACCTTGAAAACTAAAGGGAATATTTAATCATACCGCGATTAGACGTGCTATATTGTATGGAATGGAATGTTGGGCAGCGAAGGGTGAACATGAACACAAGGTTAGTGTGGCGGAAATGAAGATGCTTCGATGGATGAGCGCTCATACGCGTATTGTGAGGAGAATAAGGAATGAAGATATGAGAGCTACAATTGGACTGACACCTGTTGTAGAAAAGATGGTGGAAACTCATCTTAAGTGGTTTGGACAAGTGGAGAGAGTGAGAAGGGTTGATAAAATGGTGAAAAGACCATGTGGCTAGAGAAAGAGATAAACCTAAGAAGACTTGGCACAAAGTAGTGAAGGGGGGCTTTCGCTTGAATGACCTCAGAGTAGATATGACACATGATAGAGCGCAATGGCGTGTTTGATCAATATAGCAGACCCCACCTAGTGGAATAAGGCTTTGGTGTTGTTGTACATTACTAATAGTAATATTAATATAACGGGGTACATACTAATATTTTGTACTCCCTCCGTCCCTAAATAGATTACAATCTTTTTTTCTCTCTCCTCTCGATAACTTTTGTTTGTTTACGCGATTTCATCAAGTATTTGATAAAATAAAATATTCTTGTCACCTCTTGTTTTGTAGAACTTTTGACGTAGTTTTTTAATATGTAATTTTTGTAGCTTATTGATACACCAATTTGTAAATAAAATGAATTCAAAAAGTAGGAAATTTTACTCCGTAACCCGCAATTTGTAATCAAATTGGGGACGGAGGGAGTAATTCATAAAATTTAATGTTAAGTTTAATGTCCATATGAAACAAAATGCGTACTCCGTAACAAAGTTTAAAATACATTAAAAACATCTTCGAAACAAAAGTTAAAACTAAAAATTTTAGAGAAGTACTTTTCAAAAAGAAAGTCGTGCTCCAAAATGGAGGCTTAATTACTCTAATATAAACCAGAATCAAGCACTCCATATTTTTAATTCTTTAGTATACTCCGTGTATATATTTTTTATGGTGTAAAATTGGCATCAATCAAGATCCATCACCCATCCCTTGGCCCATCCCAACCCAAAAAGGTAAATCAAAAGAGATAATTAATGAAAACAAAGAAAGGAATGAAGTCGAAAGGATCAAAAAGATGAAAACGGCAGCGACAAACGCATGTGGCGACGATGACACCGATGGCAGAATGATCTACTTCTCTCTGGCGGCAGCGGCGAATCTACGTCCCAATGATGGCGCTATGCTGGGATTTTTGAATCTGGAATCTGGCGGCCATAGATCTAGGTTTTTGAATCACATGTTGGCATCCCTTCTTAGTTTCTAAGCCTCTTTGGCGACGGATTGGATGCCCAGGCATCCGTAAGGAAACTCTGAACTTGATTAGGCAAAATATGGTGAAGCGATGTTCCATGGCGTGAGCTCTATACTGCAATGACACCAAGGTGACGCCTTGATAACTATGCTCATTAGTTTGGAACTGACTAACTCACTAACATTATAACTCCGTAACTTACTAACTGCAATGACAGTCATTAGGCCACTACTCCAAAGACTTCTAATTCAAATATTTAATTAATACGAAATAAAAATGAAAAGAATATAACTAGTTAACAATTTAACATCCTTAATAAGACTCTATTAACCTCCACCAGATTCTAGCCGTTCCCATTGAAAACAACTTGTCCTAAAATTCTTGTTGTAACGATGCTGAAAACTCTCTACTTAGGGTGGTAGCACCATTTGTAACGTTCTGAGTTACAAATAAGCTTTAAAGCAAGCATTACCCCTTGAAACTTGTACACTTTGCCATTTACCCAAAGAATCATACATATCTTGTTCTAGTTGGCTTGGACAGTAATTAGAGAGGCAAGCCATTTGATCCCCAAAACCAAATCAACTCTTTTCAGAACAAAAGGGAACCAATCTTGCTTAATTATAAGGGTAGAAAGTTTAGCCTCAACTTATAGGAACACTTGGTTATATTTAATCAACCATCCATCTCTAGTTTGGATTCCAAAAGAAGGTATTGTTTGAAAAGAAAGGGGCAATGCAGAAACCAGCGGTTGAGAGATAAGATTGTGGGTAGAGCCACTGTCTACAAAGATCGAAATCTCTCTGTCTGAAATAGATCCTTCAAATTTTATGATTCTAAAAGACGTGTGATCCATTATTGCTATAAATAAAATCTCAACTTCCCTTTCAATCCTGGCGCCATCGACGTCTGCTTGTGGAAGCGTTATTTTGCAGCCTTTTCAATGAATTTAAGGAGATAAAAAGATACGCTGCAATAATGCCTGGGTTTAAAAACTTCTATACAACAAAAGCACAATCCTCTATCCCATCATTCTTCCCTCAAGGAAACACCTGTGCTTGGCTTAAGGGTAACGAGGAAGGTGGAAGCATTGCGTTTGAAGATGTGTAGGTGGTTGTGTCTTTACCTTCTTCAGAAGTTTCTGTGTAGTCCTTTCAATCATGTACCATGTTCTCATATGAATTAAAATTATAAGGTTGAATCAGTTTTGAGCATGAACCGGGTTTACGCCGACTTGACCTCTCCAACTCAAGGGCTATGCTTTATAAACTGTGCATGGTGTGTATAATCTCACCTCTGTATTCAACTCTTTACCCGAAGCAAAAAATGATCAGGCTTATTTTTCACACAAGCCACCCACTTTGCCTAATTCTGGTATGCTCAGTCACACTATCCTCATGTTTGATCTCGCAAAGAACTCTGGAGGTCTATAGTGTTCGGTGAGAATCTTCACCAGTTTGTACCACTAAAGCAATGTGCGCTCAGTATTTATCCATGAGAATAGATCCAAGGCATCCCCTTCACGATACATGACTATGATTTCCACCTTGTCATGTTCTAGCATATTATAATACTGGAAATACTTTTCTGCCTTCAGAACCCACCCTCTTGGGTCACCTCCATTATATTTTGGAAATTCAATTTTTGCTTTAGGTGCATGCTTTATTGGGCAAAAGTCTTCCGGTACATTGAGTTTCAATGGTGGCAGGAGATGATGATTGTGTGCCAACCATTGCGGATCAACTGGCTTTATACCAAACCGGTAGAAAATATAAATCTTACAACAATTGTGACTCTACCTATCCCTTTAATACAATTGTGACTCTACCTATATATAGACAGGACCCTTCCTCAATAAGTTACTAATTCCATAACATGGAAATAACCATCTCCAACAAAGAGCCTGTTCTTTAGGACTGGAAAAAAAAGAGCTGGATGTTGGAAGAAACTGGAAGAAATTAGAAGAAACTGGAAGG